TTAAAATTACAGTCCTTTAGCTTTTCAAATTCCCGAGTTATCAACTTAGCCGAAAAAAACTTTGGCGGCCTGTGCGTGGTATCACGCACACCCGAGGGCTGGGTTTGATCACATTAATATCCACTTGGACGGGGAACATCCTCTTGAGATTTCAGCCTTCTAGCTTTTCAGATCCCTGAGTATAAGCCTACCCGAAAAAACTTTCGCAGGCCTGTATATAGGTACCACGCTTACCCGGCGAAGGGCTTGTGCGCATTAACACCTACTTGAACGGGGAACATCATCCTAAGATTTCAGCTTTCCAGCTTCTCGGATTCCCGAGTTATGAACTTATCCGTAAAAAACTTTGGCGGGCTCCTACGTAGATACCACGCAGGTAATGACGCCCATTTTGGAGATTGGGGCCCGCGCGTGCACATGGATTAAGTTCCCAAAGTTTCAGCCCTGCAGCTTTTATAGATCTTGAGATGAAAAATCGGAAAAGATGCACACACAGACAACCCCTCGTCAATATATGTTTTTGCATTGCACAGCTGCAAAAAAAACGCATAAAAAGGAGCGAGTTTGAAAAAGCAGTACCACAAAGCAGTTCGCATTGATAGCGTTAACATCAGCTCGTGGAACACCAAAAAAGGCATTGCTCATGCTTTCAGTACCGCCAGCCAATACCACAGAACGATAGCCAGTCTGCACTGCCTGTGCAGCCATTATGATCGCTTTCATACTTGACGAGCATACTTTGTTGACTGTAACGCTTGGAGACGTCACCGGGATACCTTAAACTCAAAATCTGATGAATAATTGACAGAGCCGGATTTCTCAGTACTAATTGTGCAAGAAAAACCCGTCAACGCAATGGACGACTACACAGGATTACGCAGGCATGGCAACAGCTAAATAGGAAAAAAATGGGGAAAATGCAAGGGTCGAAAAGCATCAATAGTGGGAAGGGATGCGAAATAAGTCTTATATTCCATTAATTTTAGAGTTTGGGAGAAAATGCTAAATTTGAAACGAACCAGCATTAATCGAGATCTGTCGAGCAACATTCTGTCCGTGGCATGCCGTCAAAACGCAGCCAAAAATTGTTTCATCAACGTCACTGGGCAAGATTCCTAAAAAATATGCAGACAAACACTTGCAGTGTGACTGAAAAATCATTTCCTGCAAAAACAAAAAAACTTCCTAATCCCGCGAAAAGTGCAAAAACAAACAAATAAGCGTACTTTCGCACAAATATCACTTAGGATTTCACGCTGCCGCTGTCGCTCATCAGTTAGAAGGACTGATTTCCCGCTGACGGAATGTGATTGTTGTGAATCGCATTGAATCCTTTTTATGCGTTTTCGCTACATCGGCACAGCAAACGCATATTATCGGCACTTTGCCTATGTGTTTGTATGTGCGTGCTTGGATTTTTATTTGAGGAATTTTCAACTCAGCAAACAGAAAATGGAATTAAAAGGAACGGCGATAGAAGAACAGCCAAAGTGGTCATGCCGAGCAGGGTTGACAAGAAGGTCGGAGTTATAAAGTGGTGTTATGCGACCATAAGTAAGCCGGAGATTACCTTTTGAAGCAATGGACCATGTTAATCAAAGGAAATCCAGCATAGCTGAATAACTTGCGATTTAAAGAGAAAAGAATGGAATTTAGTGCATGGTAGTAGGGAACATAGTTGTGAAGATAATGTGGTAAAAACCTTTTGACATGTGAAGTGTCTGAAGTCATGTACCTGAAGTATGTAGGGCAGTCTGTCTGTGCTTTATCT